GCTGTTTTTTAAAATAAGCAAATTATACTTGAGTAGGTGCAGGCTGAACATTAACAGATGAACAAGGAATCCTTGTGCTCAAAGAACTGGTCATAGTTTCTGTAACTATTGCAAGCCAATAAAGCTTTTGTTTTCAAGGTCCTTTTTTTGTTTTTAAATTGAACTACAGTTGATTTACAATGCTGTGTTAGTTTCAGGTATAAAGCAAAGTGATTTAGCTATATATATATTCTTTTTCAGATTCTTTTTCATTATAAGTTATTACAAGTATTAGATATAGTTCTCTGTGCTATACAGTAGGTCCTTGTTGTTTATCTATTTTAAATATAGTAGTGTGTATATGTTTAATCCCAAACTCCTTATTTATCCCTCTTCGTCCCCTTTCCCCCTAGGTAACCATAAGTTTGTTTTCTCAGACATAGAAAACAAACTTTGGGTTTCAGGGTCCTTTTTAAACAAGACTCAATGTTGGATCTGTGTTGGTGTCTTCTAGAGCATTTGTCCTATGACATTTTCCATCATCTTTTTGTCCTGGGTGACCTAAAAGAACATCGAGCAATTATGAAAGTCAAAAAAGTGTCTTCCTTTGATGCAGTAAGTTCACTTCTATAAACTTTCTTAAATAAATAATAAAGAATTCTCACAAGATGTAATTGTGAGACTATTCATTGCAGGATTGCTGATAATAGCTAAAGATTGGGGAGTGGGGATATAAATAGTCAACAATAGGAGTTTAATACTTAATGAGACAGTCATCCAATGGGTCACTGCATGTTTGGACAACGTGCAAAGTGCTGGCCCGCCAAGATAAAAGGTCAGAAAAAGACAGAATGACAATCTGGAGGAAGCATCTTCAAAGCAGGGGAGTGGGTGGTCAAACAGATTCACTGTCTAAACTTCTCCATTCTCGAAGGAAGCTGAAGAATGGAAGACCAGCTACGCCAGAGACTGCGACTTACCTCTACTCTCTCATTCTTCCTTAGAAAAAGAAACCTGATTTTATTCTGGCCAGTGGGTTAACAATAAACAAACAAATAAAAACATTCACCAGCTCTTTCTTCACTAGAGATGGCAAATGAAATGCAAGCAAAAATTAATGGGTGGGAGTTCCAAGAATGCCAGTTTAGAGGATGAATACCTGGCATGAGCCCCTCTTGTCCTTCCTCCCCTCTTCTTTTCTGCTGACTAGAATTGGGGAGTAATGGCAGGAGTTCTAGCAGCCATCTTGAACCAAGAGCCATCCATACCATGAGCCAACCGTCAGGATGAAAATCCTTTAATAGAGTGGAGATATAGAGGAGGTTGGGTCCCCAATGATAAGGAAACACAATATGAGCCCTAGACTGTCTACCTCCGGAATTCTTTACATACAGTAAAAATAAATCCTTGTAAACCTAAGCTACCATTATCTGGATTTTATAGATATGCAGCTGAATCTAATTCCAGTTGATTCACCAATAAAATGAGTAAGAGACCAAATGGAAATCAAAATGTTCCTCGAAGAGTCACTCAAGGATAAAGGTATGTAAGTAGGAGGCTGTTCTCAGGAAGTGAGTCATGAAGGAAAATATTTTTTAATGAAGGGCATTAATATTTCCTTATCCAACAATAACACTTAGAGCTTATTTTTCTCCATCAGAAGAGCATATGTGTGTTACTGATGATGTCAGTTGAATCTGATGATTTAAAAATATGTTTATATGAAAGAATCTGGTCATCCTTCAAGGCAACACCAGAGAGTCAAAGACACAAAGGAGCAAAGTACATTGTCTTGAATAAAAGAATAAATTAGTTGAGGGCTGCAGTGAACTTCAGGCCTTTTGGAAGACTCACTCTTTAGCAATTGACTCAAAGGATTCGAAATTAATCATTTCATTCATTTTATTTCAATGAATGGAACAACTATGGTGGTAGCATTAACATCTAGCATTTACTATGTGCATTACACTGTCTTAGGTACTTCATAACTATTATCTCATTCAATCCTCTCCACAACTCTGAGAGGTATCTTTATTTTTTGGATTAGGAGACTGATAATCAGAGAAAATAAATCACTTTCCAGAAGCCACAGAGCTAGGAAGTAGAATTGCTAAGAGTCAAACCCAAATCTGAATAACCAAAATACTGGCAAAGCAAAATATCCATCCAAAGAGGTGAGTTTGTGAACATTTTTGTGTATTTTAAAGAGTAATTTTGTACAGTAGGTGATAGAAGAATAGATGTGTTAAAAGATCATATATCCACTTGGGATGTTGAATAAAATAGAAAACTGAAAATGTTGCCAAATCTGGCCCTTTCCAAAACTTGGAACCACTAACCTTGTCTGCCTTTATATAAATTCCTGATGCCTCCCCAAAAGGATTTGAAGTAGGAAAGTCTGAAATGGGTGAAATTTGTGTTCGGTGACATTGGCCACTTCCTCAACCCCTCAAAAAAAAAAAGATTAGGGAAACTGAGATGCCTGTGAAAAGAGAGCAAGAGTTTAGCAGAGTTAGGAAGCAAAACCCAGAAGTGATGAGTAAAAAGTTAAGTCCAAAAAATTTGAAAAAATCTTGAGGAGGACATGAACATAAGGTAGGGGACTCAAATCAAATTTATATAAATTATCTCAAAGGACAGGATCCTTTAGTTATTACCTGAGTAAACTTTATATATGTGCATATGTATTCTCAACTCCCTCAGTGAAGGATCTGAGATCATGGTGAAAGATCTATGAAGGAAATTTTAACATCTTACATAAGAAGTAAGGCCAACTTCAGACCCTAAGCAAAGCTTCTCTCTCCAAGAATTCTTCACGTGAAATGCTCCTGATCTGACTCCTTAAATTTTTTTCCCCGAGGGAATAAACAAATAAAATATAGACTATCTAGAACATTCATGAAAAGTTAAGTCCAGATTGATACAGCAGACTATGGATTCAAATAGAAAACACAACTTTTCTCTTTGACAACAGATAGTAAAATTGCCATTATTCATTTATTGATTATTCTGGACAACACTTTAACTTCTAAGCTGATATCCTTGCCACCTCTGAATTCTTTCACTCTGAAAGAACACATGGTTCCAAAGAATGTGGGTTACAACACTGTAATTGAAAAAATATTAATAAAAAAAGTAAATTACTACACCCTAATCCAGGGATTTCTTCCTCTTAGTTTGCTAAATAATCCTAATTACCCTTTATGGCTACAATCCTAGGAGTGAAAAATGGGGAAAGGCTGAAGGAGTTTCCTTCCATCACAAGTCCCACTTCTGTGACTCAGGCTCCTTTTACCATCTCTATATATCTCAGTAGTGCCCTTGCTTTTCACCCTGGCAACAGTAGCCCAGCTCAAGCAAATGGGCCTCCTACACTTTGTTAAGGAGTGTGGGGATTTCAAGCTACCAACAATGAAAGGCTAAGTTCTTTTGGAAGTTAGTGTGTCATGTTTTTCATATATTGTGGCTCAAGACTAAACTCCCAAGAACCTTCCACTGCCATAACTGCAACTGAGAGCACAGCACAGCACAGGTTGAAATGTACCTAACAGCCCTTCCTTTTTTCTTTTAAATTTTTTTTTTATTGAAGTACAGTCAGTTTACAGTGTTGTATCAATTTCTGGCATATAGCATAATACTTCAGTCATATAGAAACATACATATATTCGTTTTCATATTCTTTTTTTTACCATAGGTGACTATAAGATATTGAATATAGCTCCCTGTGCTATATAGTATAAACTTGTTGTTTATCTATTTTATGTATATTAGTCAGTACCTGCAAATCTAGAACTCCCAATTTATTGCTTCCTACCCACTTCCCCCCACTGGTAACCGTAAGTTTGTTTTCTATGTCTGTGAGTCTGTTTCTGTTTTGTAAATAAGTTTGTTTGTCTTTTTTTTTAGATTCCATATAAGAGTGATATCATGTGGTATTTTTCTTTCTCTTTCTGGCTTACTTCACTTAGAATGACAATCTCCAGTTTCATCCATGTTGCTGCAAATGGCATATTTCTTTTTATGGCTAAGTAGTATTCCATTGTGTAGACATACCACAACTTCTTTATCCAGTCATCTGTCAGTGGACATTTAGGTTGTTTCCTAAATAGCGCTGCTATGAACATTGGGGTGCATGTGTGTTTTTGAATTAAGGTTCCCTCTAATAGCTCTTTCTAATAGTCATCAACCATTGCTCCTTGTTAGCACTTAACACTTACAATTTTTTCCTTTTTTTTGAATTTGCCCTATAGTCAGATTCAAGTTAACCTCATATGACAATTATCTTGTTCCCAGAGCTCAGGACTCCATGGCTGTCTTGGGCTAGACCCTCTGGGAATTCCATCTGCCCACTCTCTTCTCTGGCCTGTGGAATAAAACTCTCTCCTTGGCACTGTTTTCCTTTTGAACATGAGCCCTTCCCATTTGGACTCTACTCTTCTATGTGGGGGTATTTCTTTCACAGATCATTTTTAAATTTGAGAGTATTTCATCATTCCCTCTCTAGGTATGATGTATTCACTCTTCAACGGTACTAGCCAGTCTCCAAATCCACATTTAACCATCTTAATCCAGGGTATGATCCTTATACTATGCCCAGCAGGGGTGTAACACGTCACTCACATTTCAATAGCAGTGCTCACAGACTGAAATATGCAAAGTCCTTGAGACTTCACATTTATTATTGAATAGAGACTGGGATATATTCTTTAAGCTCATAATATGGTATGATACAGTATTAGGTGGAAGCCTACAGAACCCTTTGGTAGCACTGATAATGGTATTTTCAAGTTTGTTGTGTAGAGAGTTATTTTTATATTGGAATCTTGTAAAAATTTAAATATGCTATATTTGCTGGAAGAGAAATTCAAATTTGGGTTTTATAACCCTATAGAAATTACTCCCAAATTTGCAGTTGAGTTTTAGACTGACAGTACACCGATTCTGTTGGTAAAATAATTGAAAGCTAGGAGCCAGAGGAATTTTGCACCCAGCGTATTCCTCTCGCACGTGCAGTTACTTACCTGCGATGGCCAGGTGAGTCACGAAGAAGGTCATTCTTGACTTCCTCTTCCTCCTCCATGTAGAGAACAGCACGATGGCATTTCCAACAATGGTGAAAACAAAGAGGACCCACAGGGTTATCAACTGCTCCGTCTGCGAGAAACAAAGCAATACAAAACCGATGTACCAGTGAGGACCAGGGTGCTTTTACAGAATGCAAGTCTCAGGCTTTGGTGTTGGTCTCCTGTCCCCACCTGTGAAGCCCAACTCTCAAGAGAACAAAGACACAATGGTCCTTATTTACACCGGCAGCAGTGTAAACTGATGCAACCTTTAAAAAAATCCATTTGGAAATGTATGTCGAGACAAAAACAGTATATATGGAATTCTTTGACCAAACCATTTTAAATCTATAGGAAAGAATTCAAGGTGTGAAAAAGAACACTATAATCCCAAAGATGTGCATATTCATTGTAAGAGGAAATTGGAAATTGTTTAAAGATAACAGGATACTTAAGTAAATAAATCACTTCAATTCACTGAGCTATTATGTAGCTATTAACAATGACAGGCATGACAATTAGGTGGCAACATTAAAAGTGCTTATAATATAATGATAAGTGGGAGAAACATGATAAAATTGTATATTGGGGGTGATTACAACTCCGCAAAATTATACATGTAAGAAAAAGACTGAAGTATACTAAAATGTTAAGGGTGGTTATTTTAGGGGAGCGTGATTATGGGTTATCTTACTCTTTTTCCTTTGACAGAATTTTATAATATTAAAGTTCCACTGAATAACATAGAATTAGTAAAAATGAAAAAAAAAAAGCAGGAATGCTACTCATTGAAAATGCCAAGCCCTCCATAAAAAATTTTCCATGATTTCTTCAAATGGAGCTTTTCATATGTTTCAAGTCCATAGCCCAAAATAAGCAGAGGCCCAGGGCACTGGGACGGGCTGGACGCAGGGCTGGGGCCGGGCTGGGCGGTGGGTGAATATGAAGCCAAGGGGATCCAGCGGTGAGTCCAAAACTGGAAGCCAAGAGACTTCAGCCCAGAAGGTTTGGGCAGAATCCTGGTAAGATGCACACGTCTAAGACTGGAATTCAAAGTGCTTCTGCTGTTTGGAGGAGATGATAGTAAGAACCTGGAGAAACCCCTTGTGATGGTAAAATGGTATGTGTGGATCCGGCCAGGCTCTGCACTCAGTGGTTCTGTCAAACCGTGGTGTACAATGGTTGCTGCGAAGGCACTTTGTAGATGGGGTTACATCTGCCACCACTCGACCTTAAATAAAGCAGTTTACCCTCCATAAGTTGGGTGGATCTCATCCAGTGAGTTGAGAGTCTTAAGAGCAAAAGCTGAGGTTTTCCAGAGAAGAAGGAATTCTTCCTCAAGAAATCCTTGGAGAACACAGAAATTGTGCCTGAGTTTCCAGCCTGCTACCCTCCTTTAAGGATCTCAGACTTGCCAGCACCCACAATCATGTGAACGGATTTCCTAAAATAAGTCTCTCTCTCTTTCAATATAATATAATATTATCTATCTATCGATCGATCATCAATCTACCATCTTTCTGTTGGTTCTGTTTTCTGTGAAGAACCCTGACTGACACCCTCCCTGAGTACCTGAGACATCATGGCAGCACTTTTTCTTATACTAAATTAATTTTAAATTATACAATAACAGACCAATACGTTCTTCTTTGAAAACAACTCAGATAAAACTCAAATCCCCTCTGGCTTCCATCCTCCCATCTTTTCCCCTCTCTCAGAAAGTAAACATCATTTTGATTACATTGTATATCCTTCCAGTCCTTTGAATTATACCTTATAAGTATGTACACACACAAACACACACACACATCCATAGCAAATATATGTCAAGCTGATATTAAAGTTCTCCATCTCAGATTTACAAATGGGTTCCTGAGGCCCTGATGGAAGTCAGGGCCTTAGAGCTGCAGAATGGTGGAAGTCAGGGAGGATAGGCATTGGGGTGGTGCTGGGGGGAGGGTAGGTGCACAACTGGAGGGGGAGGACCACAGGGTTGATGACCTCTGCTGCTCTGAAGGGCACAGGTGGCAGATACCTCACCTCCAGCATGCTTACATCATCTCCCTTTTGGAGGGCAGAGTCTTTGCTCAGTTATCAGGCCATATACTCTTTCTCTGGTCCTTTTCGGATGAGAAAGGTCACATTTTTCTGGATGACTCATTCATTTCTCTAGCGCAAGATCTGGGTGGCACGGAGAAATCAGGAATGGAAAGTAATCATTATGAAAAGGGCTATTCTGAATGGAGTGAGAGAATGAATTTTTCTAAGGGAATTCTCTCCTTTGAGACCCATGGACAACAGTGCTGTCAGGAGTAGGTTCAGCAGGGGAAGCCTTTAAGTACCAGACTGATGCTCCCCATTCAGCAAGTGGTATGTAGGTGGTAGGACATAAATAAGTGGTTTGAACTTGGAGGACCAAGCTTTTAAAACTGCAGAGCAACTTGGGACCAACCTAAGAAACTAGGATTGGAATTCTCTCTTAGCAGGAGGTCTCGTAGACACTAGGTGCTGATAGATGATGCGGGTGCTACACAAGGCATCTGTATACGTACTGGGACATGTGTGCTGTCAGGGAAGAGGATGGTGTCCTGGGGGTATTCATGGTTCAGAAGAGATCAAGGAGCCCGTAGAGCAGGTGGTGTGGCAGGTAGGGGTCTGCATAGTCCTTTCCAGCCCTGCTGAGAATGCAAATGAGAGATTTTCCAAGATTTTCTCCTGTTTCTCTTAGGAAATCTGTTTCCTAGGGAGAATCATTTCAATGCCTTAAAGTAATTCCTTTTTTTTTTTGAATTACAAAACACTGTATCACATCCAGTAAATTTTCTCAGCTTGGGTGGGGTGGAGGGTAATTTATTTCCAACTCAACCTGTACTAAGTCAATCTCTGCTGAAGTCTTTCAGCCTCAGAGGAGGAAGGAAGGGAAAAGTTAGAGTGCTTGCAATGTTTGTCAGATCAGAAATTCAGATCTCTATGGAGAGAGGGGAGAGAGCTGTGTCTGGAAGCAGACAAAGGAGGAGGTGTGGTACTCTGCAGGGGATGAGAGGGTGTCAGGAAGGCAGTGGATACAGAACTGTTTTCCTCGCTGAGACCCCTGACTTCACCTGCACCATCCTGGGGCCTGCCCAGCTGCCCACATCCATTTAGCCGGGAGAAAACAGCTGGCCACCAGTCTCCTTGAAGTCTGTGACATTTGGTGAACTTCCCACAGAAATCTGCCTCAGCCCCAGGTTCTGGACTGAGTCCTCCAGTTCTGGGATTCCTTGGGGGTCGGCCCCCATCCCTGATTCTCCAGAGAGACTCTTAGTTCACGGAGAGAATAAGTGAGCCTGCCTGCCCTGCCCTCAGGCAGCTTATCTGCTCTCCACCTTACAATCTGAACCTTACAGAGGTTCCTCCGACCTTCCAGCAGGAGGGTGTCAATCTCCTCAATTTTCTACCTTTGACACAGAATTTTTTTCTCAACTAAAATTACACTCTGAAGACCTTTTGGATGAGAATTAGAAAGTGAACCCAGGGTAATTTTGAGCTAGAAATCAGTGTTTTTTCCAGAATATACCTCTCTCCATGTCCCCTTTCAATACATGACTAACTGCCTGCGGTGAGTACAGTCAGGCCACATTTCCAGAAAAGCAATACTGAAGTGGATCAATGATTTGCTTTTCATGAGGTGCATTGGTGACGATGCTGATTTGCAGAAATCAAGTTTCTCTAGTGGGCCTACCAGTGGGCATGGAGTAGCTGCTTTTTTCATCTTTGTCCCGCACAATCACAACCTAGCCATCCAGTCTCTTCTAAGTAGGTTTGGGGTTCAGATCTGCTCTGCTGGGAGCACAGAGTGACAAACACTGCAAATCAAATTATCCCGGTTAGATGTATCAGTGAATTGAAGGTCAGGTGTCAGGAGGGCTGGTGCAGTCGTTGCTGGCTTGGCTGAGCCTTTTCTTAGGAGCTGCCAGTAACTGTGCTTTGGGCTGGTCCACCCAGGGCGCTCTGTAAACAGATCAGTGTCTATTCTCCTTGGAATTAGATGATGTCTGTGGGGTGGGTTGAGCAAATCCTGTGAAATTAGGTCTGCTCCTTCTGCTTTGGAGTTTTCTACTGGAAGACAATCTCACCTTAACTCATTGGCTTCAGGAAATTTACAGATGGAGAAAATTCTCTATTGTTGCTTTCTCAGATCCACGTTTATTTGTTAATTCATTCTATATCAATTAATTGTCTACAATATAAAGTACTGGTGCTACAAAGGAGATTAAAACATGTAGATTGCATAAATTATACCCAGCCGAAATTAAATCCTGTTTCATCAAGTTGTACAAAGGTCATTAAGTATGAAAACAGTTACGTAGTTGTAATATCATTTTATTCATAGCATTCTTAACCCATGCACTCACATGCACCTAAACACACACACATCCCAAGGTAATATGAAGATTTGGGATATTGTGAAATTTGGAAAATTGGAAAATGTGCATCGGAGAAACAACTTCAGAGGCATTTGAGCATCACAGAGGTGAGCAGTTTGGTAGAAAATTTGGTGGGCTTTCAGCCCAGCTTGACTTTGAATCGGATTCTTTATTACTTGCTAGATGTGTGATATATCAGTAAACGATAACCTCTCTGAGCCTGTTTTGTCATTTATAAAATGAAGATGAAAATAAAATATGCCTCAGAATACTTGTAATGGATAGTTATGATGATAAAAATGGAGATTTCTAGCTCAGTGCTGGATGTATAGTTCACAGGCAATAAGAGTTGGCGAATTCTCTCTTGGTTTTATGGACTACGTACAGATTTGAGGAGTGATTATAAATAACTTACTACCTTTTCAGAATTATGCTTGAATTCACTCTGTTCATCCTATTTTCAGTTCCAGTTTGTTGGAGTTTCACCTGAGCCTAACAGGCACTCCACCTGTGCCCCCTCCCCACAGGTACTAATGGTGTCACACCACCAGTCTCAGACCGATTTCAGATTATAGTTGGGGATTAAATGCCCCCTAGTGGTCATGTGAGGCAAACATTCAAACCAGATTCTCAATATTGAGCAGAATAGGTGAATTTGGAATTTTTCAGTGACTAAAGACTAGAG